ATATATATATATATATATATATATATATATATGTTTTTCTTTGCGTGCTGAGATTCTGAGTTAGTTTTGGCTGAACTCCAAAAAAAGATCCTCTCATTTACAAGTTTCTTTTGTCTGGAAGAGAAATGAGAGTCGTTTTGATGGAACATTTGCTCATTAGTGTAAATTTAATTACAGCAGGACTGTCCTCACTGATTCAAGACGTCAGCTGATGAAAACTGTGAACCGCAGAGTTCCCACGCCTTCAAGTACTTTCCACAACCAATTTCCTAAATTTGAGGAGCACATTTTACCCTACCTGTACCCTCATTTACATGTAGTTAAGGAATCAGATAAACAGCCAATCAGACTAAACGTGTCCGATATAAATGTGCCAGTTGTAATAATCTAATTGGCATCCAGTGCTGAGAACATTAGTTCTCCACAGAAACTACTTACCAGTAAAAGGAACTATTGAGTAAGTTTTTACGATCTAAAATGTCAAAGAATGTGGAAAACGTTCCTGTAACTGGGAGTTTAAATACAACTTCAAGTCCAACTATGAAATATAAGAGGTATATTGTCAATAAATGAAGGAAATAATACTAATCTGTACCATTTAGACTTAGACAAACCTTGTCATTTTCAATACACAGAGTGTATTGAAAATTAAATTTCCATGCATAAAGCTTTTCAACAGTAAATGAGCAGCTTACCAGTTAAATTAACATTTCAAGTGCAGCCATGATCAGAGGAATATGGTCAAACGCAGTGGAAACATTGGGTGGAGTTCTATTTAAAGGGATTTGAAAATTCACCATGTAAATATGATGTTTTTTAAGTGTGATAAAGGGTCTTGATTTGTGATTTGATTAAAGGTTTACACATAAAGTAAAGAGCAACATACAACAAAGAGCTGGCTGCCAGTCAATGTTGAGATGAAGATCATCTTTAGATTGGGGATGTTTCTAATTTAGTCTTAGTTTCTGCACATATTGAGTAAATCACAGAAACATTTTGACATTAGAAGCTTTTATTAGGAGCTAGCAATGCTTCATCTAATCTCCACTCAGCCTGTGTTTAACGTGATAAACAATCCTCCATTGCAGCTCTTTAGCCTATCAGCATCACAATTGGGGTGTGAAAAAAAATTGATTTGGTGATATAGCGTGATTTTTGGCTGCCCAGTATAATATCGATCTTTAAATTCCTAATAACCATTTTGAAAAAAAAACTTTTTTTTACTAAAACAAAGAGGGAAAATGGGCTACCTCTGGTAGGTGGCGCCGAGGAGCCTTTTTGCTGTGCAGCGCAGCACCATATCTGCAGTTGAAGCAGTCACACTGGAAAATGTGAACCGATTCAAACCCCAAACAAGATGGATTCAGGTGAACGTATACAGAACTTCCTTTTTTAATCTCTAGATTTGATTTTGACAGCTGGGTAAAATATCGCAATATATATAGTGATACTAAAATATTGTGATAACATCGCATTGTGACCCAAGTATCCTTAAATGTATTGTATCACATGCCAATACTCACCCCTAGTCACAATGTGAATCTTAGCCTCCTGCAGTAAAAATCTGTCCCCTTTTATGAAAAGTGGCTTTGATTGATCTAATATTAGTAACGCGTTAGATCGCAAGTAACGTAAATCAATTACCAATATGTAAAAAGTACTAACTGCTAACATCGTTATTATGTAACAGCGTTATGGCCTGTGTTACAGCCTGTATCAACGTGATGAGTTTCTGCTTTGAGTGACTGTTTGTTAAATTGAAATTTTTAATTTTAAAAGCATCATATGGCAAACATTCTTATTGATTATACTTACAGTCCACATTCATATCCACAATACATTGATAATAGACACCTCTGAAGAGCCTTCGAGCTCTTCAGTGTGCCGAAAGCTTCAAAATGGGCTCCAAGCAGCAACAAAAAACAGAATTTTAGTTTTTTTGGGATCCTTTTGAAAGCAACATTTGCCAACATTTGTCCTGAATTAGCTTTTTTTCAGGCATGGTATTATGCACTGACTTGTTAATAATTCACCTGAGAGAAGAATTCTACGAAGACATTAGCTACAAACAGGTAACGCTGGAATTTAAAGTTCAAACAAATATAATGACGTATTGAAGGCGGTCGCTTTAAATTTTGAATTCCTAACCTGAAAAAAAAAAAACAAAAAAAAACATTTAAGGAATTGGAAGGATGCATGTCTTATTATGGCCTTTTTCCTTGTTTTAAACTTACAACACCTTGCACTACTTTTTTAAATATAAAACCTTTAAGGATTTTATCCGCCCCTATGAACCCTGTGCACAGTTAAAAACAGTCTCTGCAGACCCGGTATAATCTAAAGACTTTAAGAGTTTAAGAGATGGCCGCTCACACTGAGCCTGGTTTTGTTGGCTGTTTCTTCCTGTTGAAAGGGAGTTTTTCCTCTCCACTGTCGCTACAAGCATGCTTGGTGTGAGGGTTTACCTTTTTGTCAATCAGTCGATGCAATCAGCTGGTTTTCCTTAGATAGAAAACTTTGAACCAATCTGACTGTATGATCTAGTTGAATTGTCTCTATAAAGTGCTTGGAGATGACGTGTTGTGAATTAGCGCTATATAAATAAATTTAATGTAAAGTGAATTTAAGAGTTTACTTTTCTGTTACATTTAAAGTTTCTAGGATTTAATTTACTGCTGATAACAGCATTTAATGGATCTCAGCTTGGTGCTCATCATTCATCTAGAAACAACATTACGACTAAGAATATTTATAAAAAGTTAATGCAGCTCATTCTACAAATTATTTTGATTTTATAAAGTATTTTCAGTGCATATTCACAATTAATACTTTTTTTTAAATATAACTTGAGATTTTGGATAAAAGTCGGCTTTCCCTGGATTTCATTGCTCTATTAGTCCGATAAAGTATCAGGGCCTGACAAAGGAGGAAGGAAGGAGAGATATTTATCCCTGTCGGAATCTATATCAGTATCAGAATGCCAGACAAGAGGAGATGAAAAAGATTTAAATACTGAACTAAAACAGAAAAAACTAAATGAGGAATATTGCAGTGTGATTGATCTGCTTACCCTCCAAGTTTGTCCCTCCTCCAGGGCGGCGCTCTGAGCCTCCACCGGATTGTCAATAACACGGCCGGTTCTTCCCGAAAAGTCCATGGCAACCAGGGAGTTCTCGGATACGCTCCGCTGTATTAGGAAAGGTGGCGAGTGGAGGCAGGTGGGGGAGGGGGACACACCAGAAACGGGGTTGAGTGGGAGTGGTTGGGGGAGGGAGGGGTAAAAAAAAAAAAAAAGGGCAGAGGTCAAACAAGCCAGACGCAGTCACTGAAGCATGACAAATCCTGTCTGCACACAGACCCACTTTAGTCAATCCACAAACACTCCTGTGAAGAAAGGCACAAGCCTCTCCTGGATTTCTGAACATGCAGCTTAAATCGTTCAGGTTCCCTTTGAACTTCTGGCTCTTCAGAGAGAAGAGAAAAGGCTTAAACAAATTTATTTTCTTTAAAAGAAAAGAAAGAAACCTCCAATTTTTAACTAAAGCCTTTTCTTAATATGAAATCTCATTGTAATGGTGACATTTACTTTAAAAACAAATTTTTGTTCAGCTACATTAAAATCATTTGTTTTATAAGGATTTTATGTGATCGATAAACACAAAGGAATCTACAATTTTTAATTCTACTGTTTAGATTTTTTAAGAACAGCTTTCCTCCATATAAAACAGATTGGTACTAAAAGTTGAAGCTCAACCTGAGCTGCAGATCCCTGCAACTCCTCCAGAGTCACCAATGTACCAGTTGGCTGATACTCTAATTGATGCTGGAAGGATATCTTGGTAGGTTTCAAGTTTAAAAAAGGAGTTAAATTTCTCTTTAGCCTTAAATTAAAGATCTGAAATAATTCTTTAAATTAGAAACCCTAAAAAACTTTGCTTTTTCTTCACATTTATGCAGCATTTGTATTTGAGTTTTGAGCAAAAAGCCTGATATAAAAAAAAGGTCTGTTTGTACTGTGAAACGTCCACAAACATTTTAGACATTGTTTTCTTTTCAAAAAGTATGTGTGATGACTGAGATGCTTAGAGTTTAATGGATCCTAAAGTCCAAGTATTTCTAAATATTTCATAAAATATTCACTATAATAAACATTCTGAAGCTAAACATGAACATAAAAAACAGAGGAATTAACTCCTGGGTTTGTGTTAGTCCTTATAAAAAGTGGATGCATTAAAAAAAATCTAACTTTTAAACCAAAGTAAAAAAAATCTAATGTAAATCTCTTTAATGGGGGAAGTTCATTCTCTGCATTTTGACCCATCCCCTTGCGGAGCAGCGGGCTGCCATTGTGTGGCACCTGGGGAGCAATCAGGGGTTAAGTGTGTTGCTCAGGAGTTGGGGGATCGAAGCGGTTACTTGCGACCTTCTCAGAGAACAAGTGCATTGCTCTAACCCACTAGTCCACCAGGTCAATACTCTGAAAAGGAAGATTTAAAGGATAAATCTGTGGAGTTCAAGAGAAACGCTGCTATAGATTCTAATGACATTCAGGATTAAATAAAACCACAATCTTTCCTATGGAGCTTTCAACTTTTAAGTCAAACTGCACTTAAGTTTGCATCAGTTAACTCTGTGTCTGTCTCAGCGCTAAGTGGAAACTAAGAAGATGGATTTTTTTCTTTTAAATTGAAATAATCTGACTACAACAGAAAATTGTCTTTCCTACCCACTAAAACTGAGGCAAAATACACCCCTTTTCAAGAAAATAGACTGATGTCACATTTTTGTAGTGTATGTTTTAAGTACAGGGACCATAACGGGCCAGGATCGGTGGATTTTCAGTCGATAGTCATGAGCAAATCACTCAGTTTTCTTCCTCTCAGAGGAAAACACAGAAGTATGGCGGGGTGCGAGTGAAATTGAGTTTTTTCTGTAAAACTGATAGACCGTAGTCGCCACGCTTGTACAGCCATGTCTTTCTCCAAATACGTTGCGCCTTTTCTTTTTAGGGCTTCTAGCACAAAATTGCAAATTGCCAAGGCAGCGTTTCACTTTAAAATCAATGAGCTTCATATTCCTCTTCTACTGGTTTGGCTTCCAGAAAGATGAGTCCCAGTAGCGCCATCTCTGGTTTTTAGACGTGCAGTGTGAGCAGGTAGGTCGCATCAGTACCCTGCGGTTTCGTCGTACAGTGTGAGCTGCAGCTGCGTGCAACGACTGAAAAAATGGTACAGTGTATGCCAAGCTTAAATAAATCTATTGAGACTTTTTAAGTTTTTTTTTATATTTTCGTTGATTTAGAAGAACATATTCACCAAATTTCTATGGTTATCTGTGATTTACCTTTGCCTGCATTGGTTTGCTTATTTGATGGTTGGTTGTTTTTTATGGTTAGGAAGATTATAGAAAAAGTCCCAGAAGACTTGCTCTGAAATTTTTACCACAGGTGTGTTTTACCCAGAGTTAGAACCCGTGAGGTTCTGGTGGTGATCAGATCACCATCCACTGTAGGAATGTTCTCAGGACTGTGAGATGTGAGCTGAGCCATTTGGCAAAGGTCTGCACTCATGTATTGATCTCTACTTTTCTTATAATTCCAACTTTGACAGCTGGACTGAATTAAACGAGTTAAAATAAATAATCTTTACACAATCTTAAATACAGATCCTTTCAATCACAGTTTTTCATTGGAAATGACTTCTTAAAAATAAGAAAACTAGGAATAGGAAATCTTTGTCAGTAATCTACACTAGCTCCTTTTCCATTGTCAATCAAACTGCACAAATTACAACAGCAAAAATTACTTAAAGCTGCAATTTGGACAAAAAAAAAACCCTTTTACGATAAAAAGATTTTATGCTTCAATGAGGAGCTTTTTATTCACTTTGAAATTAGTAAAACTGCAGTGAAATCACTAATTTTGTTTTCTGCTAATGGACCTTACTGCTTTGTTAAAAGATCAAGGACACTAAAGCTGTGACTGAAATATGGATATATCTCATAATAATTATTTACAATCACAGCTGCCATGTTGAGCTCAACGTATTGCATAAACAAACGTCATCATGTGCAATTTTATATGTTATTCAATAGAAATAGTGAAATTGTGCATTTTCAAAATTAGCAGAATATGAGCTGTTTTGCACCCATTTGTAATGGAAACTTAGATTTACAGTCCAGAAGTAAAGGTTTCTTCAAGTGGATCAAAAAGATAATTTTTTTATGTGCAAAAATTTATATTCTTTTCTAAAATAAAAAAAAAAAATCAAAACAAATCTGCCTTCCTTGGTTTTTTAGCTTTGCATAGAAACTTTTCCAAACTTATTTGCAGCTCAACACTAAAGATAAAATGCTAAAATGGAGAAAAGGAAAAGGCTGTTCAGAAAGTATCAGAAGGCATAAATGCCAAAAAAAGATTTTTTCCATTGATTATTAAAAAGGTAATAAATTTAGATGTGTTAAATCTACCGTGTCCATCTCCTTAATTCATCACATTTCCAGGCGGTTTTACCATTAGAAACAACATTTCACTTTAATAAAGGCCAGTTCAAATCCAAATCTGATAGGGGTGTGAATAATTTTGGGCAGTTAGATAAAACTCAGTTTTTGAAAGATGCTGCCTTTATGCCTTCACTCCTCGGTGCCACACACACCATGTGAAAAACGTCCCAGGTTTGTGTTTTATCTCACTGACAATGAAGAGTCATCGACAAAACAGCCGACCACTGTGAATCGGTCTTTGCCAGGTAGGTAACCTGATAACTGGGTTGTGATTGGATGACAGCAGAGGGGAGATCCTCACCACAGGTGCAGAGAAAGACGAGTTGTTGGCCTTCCTCTGCTGCGGCACGTTGTAGTTCTGGTACAGGACGATCCCATACTGTGAAGAAGGGAAAGGAGTCGGCTGCAGGTCTTCATTGAATGGACTAACTGGACAAACGAAAGATCCCTCACCTTGAGCAGTCTGAAGGCAGTCATCCAGCATGTCCTGCTCTGTTCGTCCTCGGCACACAACATCTTGAGCTCCTTACAGTCACTCCTGGCTTTACTGGGCTGTGGACCAAGCAGAGGACACAGCGGGGTTTAAAATTAATGAGAAACACATTGTGAGCACAAACAGAGCCGGGCCTCGGTTCTGTGGAGCGCAAACATCTCCAAACTGTTATGTTTCATAACACCGGGTCAAACTTTAATGATCTTAATTTAACGAGGCCACGAGGATTTCTGCCAATTTTAAGAAATATCTAAAAATTCACAAATTCCCACAGCGTCTTCAAAGAAACATGGCAGCGAAAACCCATCTATTTACACCCATATTAAATTTATCGTGCTTATCTGAAATTACTACAGATATAAAGAGAAATATAGAGTTTAATTATGAACACTAAGGTTAAAAATATCTGATTAACTGAGATATGGAGGTTTGCAGAAGAGGGAATAATTTACACCTTATCTTACGGATGCAGCTTAGACTTCATATATGTATAATATGTTTAAACTATAGAACAACAACTCAAAACCATCTGAACTCCAGGGAAAAAAAGCCTCTTTAATGCAAAATAAATGTTTTAATAAATTCACAAGTAGCAAAACTATTGATGCTTCTAGTATAATATTTTCAATTCATATAAAACATTTTGTTATTCTAATAAGTAAGCCATGGCTTATTGGGGAACCAATAAAATGTGACACAGGGGGGCATTTCCTTTAGTTTATCACAAATGGCTGCAGAAAAAAAAAAAACAGCTGCTACTATGTAGTGTTGATATAAAAACAAACAAGATGCTAATAACGCAACACCAAAAAAACAACAACAACAAAAAAACACCCCCCACCCCCATTGTTAGGAATGGTGGTGGGGCCATGGTGCTGTGGGCCTAGTACTTTTCCACTGGCCTGCTTGGCATCTTAAAATGTTTAAAGTTTTAGGAAATCCTTGAATACAAAACAACAGAAAAAAGAGAATATTCATCCCATCATCCTTCGTCCTGAGGTGACCTTTGAGACACGAGCCTTACAGAGAACCAAGGGCTCAACTATTTAAAACAAGTGACCCATTGTAAATATGGATGTATAGGCCAGACATCTGAACACACGATGGATTCATGGGCTTTTAACATATTGCAAACATGTTGAATGAGGTGGACAGCACAGGTGAACAAAATATCTTATTTTATCAACTTAAATGTGGACTTTAGAAAATCTCACTGATTCTTTTCAACTTGAGCCGGGAATTTCTGACTTATGAGAGCAAAATTCTGTTGTTTTATTCTAAAAAAAAAAAAAAAAAAAAAAAGTAGTAATGAGAAATGTAGTTTAACTGAAATGTTATGGAGGTCAAAG